ATGAAAGATAAAGAAGAGAAAGAAAAGAATTGACAATTCTCATATCTCTGAGTTTATGTTACAATCACAATGTATACTCTGAATAAGAAGATATCAGTGAGATGTCTACTTGACTTCAGAGTGAATATTAACTTTATATTCTATTTCTTTTCTTTGATGAAGGATTGAAAGAAGATAGATCTGTCAGATCATGTGAAATTTATAGATGAAATGAAATATCACTGTTTTAGCATAATTCAAGCAAAGTGTGTGATCACAGACTCAGAAGAAACCTTCAAGAAGAGCAGTCTGCTTCTTCACACAGTTAACATTATAGATGAGAATGTCATTCTAGGTCTTCTGTAATTGAGAGAAAACAATTCTCTTATTGACTGAGTCACTCAGGTGTGACAGTATCATCTCACTGATGAAGAGACAGTGATAGAGAAATCTGAAGAGTTTCATTGAAAGAATCTTGAGAAAAAGATTGAGTTAATATACTGTGTAGCAGATGATTGAGACTTGAAAACAGGTGAAGAAGTTATCACTCTCACTGCAAGATTAGCAGCAGTATCTGTCATTGAAGATGAATGTATATGATGTCTCTTTACAGATTTTAAAAATGTCTTTTCAGAAAGGGAAGTAGTGAAGTTTTCTGATATCAAGGTATGATATAAGATTTATCTTGAAGATGATATAATGATGCTGTACAGACCTCTTTATAACTTATCTGTAAAGAAGTTGAATATTCTGTATAAATATCTTAAAGAAGTGCAATCAAAGAACTGAATACATTTATTAAAGAGTTCAGCAGAGATATCTATACTCTTTATATCTAAGAAGAATGATAGACTATGTCTATATATAGACTACAGAGGTCTCAATAAGATGATAGTTAAGAATCACTATTTATTACTGTTAATTGATGAGATGATTGATTGATTATCTGAAACAAAGATATTCTTAAAGATTGATATACAGAATGTCTATCATAGAATCAGAGTTAATGAAGATAATGTTTGAAAAACAGCTTTTTGTACTAAGTATGACAATTTTAAATATCTTGTTTTATCTTTTGATCTTTGTAACACTTCAGCCATCTTTCAGACCTATATAAATGAGACACTGCAGGGCCTTGTCAATGTCTTCTGCATAGTATACCTGGACAACATTTTAATCTTCTTGAAATCAGAGAAAGAATATGATATTCATGTTTGAGAAGTGTTGAGTTGCTTGAGACAGTATTAACTCTATGCAAATACTGAAAAATGCTCATTCTACATGCAGGAGATTGATTTCTTAGATTATATTATTAAGATAAATGACATTTCAATGAACAGAAGCTGAGTCTTCATCATTGAGAACTGGCCAGCACTGCGGATGTACTGTGAGGTGCAGATATTTCTAGGATTTGCAAATTTCTACAGATGATTTATCTATATATATTCACAGATTACTGTCTCTCTTACAGATCTATTGAAGAAAAGTGTGAAAAACAGAAAAATGAGATCATTTACTCTCACTCAAGGCACTGTGCAGGTATTTGTGGAATTGAAACAAGCTTTCACAGATGTCATGATACTGAATTATTTTAATTCTAACTTACTCAGTCAGTGTGAGACTGATATATCTGAGAATGAGATCTGTGAAATCTTTTCACAGTTGACACTGAAGGCCTTTCAATGTTGAAAGAATCAGGAAATAATCATCTCTGAGAAAACAGGTAATGAATTATCTATGAGAGAAGACTTTTTCACAGAGTCTATAAGACATCATAAATGAAGATCAGTGATCTTCTTCTTCAAGAAGTTATCACTTATGCAGAGAAGGTATGATACTTATGATCAGAAGATGTTAGTAATTATTGAATTCTTTAAGATCTAGTGATATTATCTTCAGAGTAGTAAGTACTCAGTGTAAGTTCTTACTGATTATATAAATCTGTGTTACTTCTTGACAACAAAGAGCTTGACAGAATGTCAAGCCAGGTGAGTGAAGCTGCTTTCAGAGTATGATTTCTATATCTGATACTGTTCAGATCAGCTTAATCTCATTAATACATTATCTAGACAGCCTGATTATAATATTATTAATGCAGAGAAGAATTCTATAAAAGAATCTCTGTCATCACTGCAGAAGAAGCTGGCTGTAGGGGATTGAGGTTCTCTAAAGCTCAGAAACAGTGCTGAAGAGGCAGCTATGTGACTCAGTATAGAAGGTGAAAGAGAACTCAGATCTCTGTGAGAGACTGACACTGAAGATCATGAGCTTCTCATATCATGTCTTGCAATCATTGAATTGACAAAGAATGAAACAGTCTACAATCTTTCAATCTGACTACTTTTAAAATTCATTGATAAGTTACAGAAGGGGGATGTCTTTACTGCAGCTTGAATTCAGAAGTTGAAGAAGAAAGAATCTAGTTTAAACTTGAAAGAGACAGACTCTGAGTGAGATGATACTGTTAAGAAATTAAGTTACTGATAACTAGAAGAATGTGAACTTCTACTGCTGAATAATTCAGTCTTCATCTCTTATAGCAGAGTGATATATCAGAAGTTATTGAGAATTTATCATGATAATTCCCATGCAGGGCACTTTGAGTTAGAGAAGACTGAGAAGCTTCTAAAATGTAAATACACTTGAAACAAGCTTCAGACAGATGTCAAAGAGTATATTAATACTTATAATATCTATTAAAGAATAAAGGTTCTGCAGTATAAGTAATACAGTGAGTTGATATCACTGTCTGTTTTAAAGAGCTTATGACAGAATCTATTGATAGATTTCATAGTTGATCTGCTGAAGTTGACAAGAGTCAAAGAATATGACTCAATTTTAGTCATTGTTAACTGCTTCACAAAGATGACCAGATATATCTCTACTTATAAAAAGGTTAAAGCCTCTGAATTGACTGACCTGTTTTTAAATATCATTATTTGTGATCATGATGCTCTGAAATCATTGATAACAGATCAAGAATCTCTCTTCATCAGCAAATACTGATTGACTTTTTATTATCATCTTATAATAAGATGTCTTCTCAGTACTGCATTTCATCTGCAGACTGATGACCAGACTGAATATCAGAATTAGACACTAGAACAGCATCTTTAAGCATTCTATTTATATTATCAGAATGATTAGCTTAAACATCTTCTGACTGCTGAATTTATATATAATAATGCAAAGAATATAATCTTAAAGATATCTTCTTTCTATACTTATTATGAATATAATTCTTCATTACTCAGTAACATCGCGGATGATGTTTTAAAGAGAGAGATAGACAGTCAGAATGTCAAACAGATACAGAGAACAGAGTATTTCTCAGTGTCAGAAGTAAAAGTGAGATTGAAACTTTTGAATAAAATTCATGAGAAGACAGTGAAAAGCATTCATCACACTCAGAAGTAATAGATAGAATACTATAATTGAAAACATCTTTCAATGAAGTTCTTAATAGAGAATCAAGTACTACTTTCAGCAAAGAATATCAAGATAATGAGACTGTGTAAGAAGCTCAGTGAGCAGTGACTAGAATCTTTTCTGATAATAAGAGTGATGAGTAAGCAGATATATGAGTTGAAATTACTTACAGAATTGAAATTAATTCATTCTATTTTTTACATTTTCTATTTAAAGCTCTATAAGTAACACTCTGAGACAGAGCTGTCTCAGTTAGATGATATCAAGATTGAGAGTAATACTGAATATCTTATGAAGAAAATATTGAATAAGTGAATATATTACAGCAAGCTTCAATATCTTGTTAAATGAGAAGATTATTCATTATCAGAGAATTCATGAAAACTGCTTGAGTATTTGAAAAATGCTGAGAAAGAGATTACAATCTATGAGACAGCTAGTAGAGATTACCTCATTACATATCAGAGATGTTGAATAAGAAACACTACTTGAGACTTCTCATTTTTCTTAAAGGGTTTTTTAGAGATAATCTTGTAATAGTGAGCTGATATCTTGTAGACTCTGTAGCACTCTTCTCCTATTTTCTCTCAAAGAGTTTTTAGAAGTTTAATGAGACTACACAAGTGTAAAATTCCTGAAGCAGTTAATAAGAAAAGAAAGAAATATTTAAAATTAATAAAAAGATTAATATTATCAATCTGTGAGCTGCTGCTATTCTAATGAGGTCACAGCTCACTGAAAAAGTAAAAAGAGAGATCAGAATCTACTTATTAATAATCATATTCTTATCAAACTCATTCTTCACTGTTAAAGTCTCTGATACTGATATCTTTGTCTACTGAGAAGTTAGTGCTGTGATGCTGCAGAGAAGCATGCTATAGAAGAGTATAAGAGATGCTGAAAGTATTAATTTATCAACTTACAAAGTATCTTGATCATCTGCTTCAACTGAAGTGAGATTCTCTTCAATCAGTGATTAATCTCTGCAGTGCTTTTAACAGTGACACTGGCTGACCCCTTCTTGAGATCAGTCATTCTGAGGTGTTTTTTCATCTCAGTTTTTTCATCTCAGAGATTCATGCTTTCATCTTCTTTTACAGATGAGCAAGAGGAATCTCTTCAGTCTTGATGAAATCTGTCAACACTTGAAGCTCTAAGATTCTCACTCTGTACTGCTTGAGCATCTAGACTTCTTGTCAGAACTGATACAACATCTTCCTGTGAAGTAATACTTATAGAAAGACAGGAGTTATTGTTATGAATGCAATGAAAATAACAGGAGTGAGAGAAGAAGTAAGTGTATAAAATCTCCCTCTTCTTCAGCTGCTTGACACAGCACAGGTAAGTAGTGATACCAGCCAGAGACCATATCAGAGCCTTCTCACAGAGAGAAGATGAAGAAACTGTGAGACTCTGCAGACTCAACTCAGCAGCATTCTGAGCAGGGCTCAGACATGCTGCAGGAGAGGAACTATGAATTGAGCTTCTTGAAGTCACTGTTCTCAGAATCAAGCTCTCTTCAGGTTCCTCTCTGAATGACCACACAGGGTCATACATCACTGTATTGACTGAGAGAGAGGGGCAGCATTGCAATGGCAGTGAAGAGAGCAGAGGACAGATCAGACACAGACAAATCAATCAGTAGAAGAGATGACATCTCACTGCAAGGCACAGTGACTATCACTGCAGCTGCAAAAGAAGTAGAAGAAGAAGAAGATATGATAATAAGAGTGATGCTCTCACAGCTCATTGACACTGTCATCTTCATCTTCAATCTGGCTTTCTTAGTGATTATGGAGGCCACCGCCACATCACAAAGACATTTACTCACTAGAAAATGTCAGAATAAGTTCTTGATTGTTCTTCAAGAATGATACTCTCATGTACTCACTGTTATAATTGAGAGAAGAGAAGAAAAATGTTTCATAGAGAAGAAGAATCTTTTTGAGAAATTCTGTCACTACTGTTAGCTTTGTCTCTAAAAACACATCACTTTTGCAGAGAATTTCATATATAGAATGAAATATATTGAGAGATCTGTAAGTCACTTATTAACTATGTTTTTCACATTTCAAATCAATATATAAGGAACTCACTTATCACATATTTGATTTGAATGAAGATGAGAAAAGAAAGATCTACACAGTCAGCAGAAAAACTCATCTATTTCTTTGTATTATACACAGTATATACACTGTCAATTGATTGATAACTGTTGCTATACAACAAAGATAATTCCTAATCTGATAATCTTAAGAGTATAGAGACTATACTCTTAAAGAAGAGAGTATTATCACACTCTCAGCTGTGTCAAGATCTTATTACAGTTTTACACAGCTTATCACTTTCATGCAGATGATTTCATTCTGTTTGAACTGGTTTTCAACTGCTCTATGACATTATTCAGATATATCATAGAAAGATCTGATTGATGAATATAAGAACCTCACTTCTATATGAGATCAGCAGATTACATTTCCTTGACAGTGAGACACTGCTGAGATATCACTTCAGCTATTCTTGCTTATAAAATGAGAGAAGATATTCACTCATTGTCTATATAGAATAGCTAGATGCTGGCTTCTTATAAAAGAAGTCAGCAATTCATTTCTTTTACTATGAAAGAAATATATACAAGAGTTACTGTGTATCTCATACAATCTTCTTAGTATACTAAGTATTATATCTGTAATATTCTCATAATAACTCTGTAGCCTATGAGCTCACTATTTAAGTAAGATAGTCAAGCTCACTTATACAGCTTTTCAAACAACTACTTCTATGTGACACTGCTGACTAGCTACTACTTCGGTTCCGTCACATTATAAAACTCATGATTATAAAATATGAAATTATCAGATAGTTTAATATCTCTGATCACAGTATATCAGAGAAGTGTAGTTTTCATAAGAAAGTGAAGAATAAACTTACACAAGAATGTATTTAGTTATTTCATGAGTATTATTAATAATTATTACTAAATTCTGATTATATAAGTAATCACTGAATGAATTAAATGAGACTGATTTTAATCTTCAGTCTCAGTCTTATTCTGATTTTGAAAGAATGATTATCTTTCACAGTTTATTCTGAGAAATTACTCTTATTTCACTGTTCTTGAATTAAATCTGATCATTTTTCACATCATTTCTCTCAGAAATGATTCATTTTCAGATTTTTTTAAGGCTTGGTCCTGGTGAGACTCATATCAAGAAATGTATGAGATCAGATCAAATGAAATTAAATGTGAAATTCATGATCTCATTAGTTAGTCTAGAAGAGTTTCTACTGCTTTCTCTTCTCAACTGACTTCTGACTGACATCTGTCAGAGATCATAGAAGAAAATAATGAACTTGAATGAGAGATTAAAGATTGTGACTTAGAGAGTAGAACTGTCTTCTTAATATTCTGAATTATAAAGTACATTCAAGATCTGAACAAGGTCTTAATTCTCTTCTTCTCTGTCAGCTTCTGCTAATTAATTAGAGAACAGAAGTGTTATCAAAAATCATTATCTCTTAATAAATAAAAAACTTATCAGTTTTGACTTCTTTATCTTCTACTTTAACACTCTCTTAATTTTCTTCTACTGCTGCTTATTTATAGTAATACTCTTCTTCTCTCTCTCTCTCTTTATCTTGAATTTAAATCATTCTCAGAACTTCTTCTGATTTCACTGCTGCTCTATAAGACTCTTCACTATCTTCTTCTTCAATCTCTCACAGACAGTGTCATTTGCATTATTTTTATACTTAGTTCAGTCTAAATCTATCAGAAGTGTTACTTAAGATTATTATTATTCTACTTTCTTACAGAGTCTCTTCAAGATATTATAATATATCTTATAATCTGTCTTCTCTTACTTAAACATCTTCTTCTTCTCTCTCTTCAATCTGTAATAGTACTCATGTGCCTTGATAATCTGCAGGACTGCAGAATATTTGAAGAAGAATGATATAATTAATTTCAGTAAGTGTTAAAGAGAGATGAAGAAAGAAGAGACAGCCAGAAATAATATAATAATAATAATGATGATGATGATAATGATAATGATAATGATAATAATGATAATAATAATGATGATAGTAATGATGATAATGATAATGATAATAATAATAATGATGATAATGATGATAATGATGATAATGATAAAAGAGAGAGTGCATTGATATATATTACTGACTTATCAAATATAAAGAGACAAAGAAAATATTAACAGCTTTCAGAGATGTACAGAAACAGCTATAGTATTGTATAGTAACATTATCTTCATTCAATATATACACTATTGATATTCTTTGTATGCAGTTATTATATAATCTATATCAGAGATATATACAGAAAACAGATCTTTATTACTAGAGAGAATAATTGCAGCAATTCTCTATTTTTATATTATAAAGATAAGTTATTCTCATTTCTTTCTTCTCTCTTTTCTCTTCTTCTTCAACTTATCACTAAGTTCAAGCTGGTATGAAAACTATTAAAACACTCTTAGAAATTCTCAAATTAAAGAGTATAAACTAGTCACATTTTAAATATAGAAGAATTAAATTATATTCAATATTACTAATTATTCATCTCTTCTTAATAAAACTATAGTTATGTCTTTCTCTCTCTCTCTTAAATAAAACATGACCTGTGAAAAGTGAGTACTATATCAGATCATAATAATCAACACAGTCTCAGCATATAGAGCTGTATACACACAGTATATGCTGAACTGAGAGACTGCATGAGTTGTAAATTAGCAGCAGCATTTCAGAGAGAGCTGTGTAGTATAAGAAAGCTGCAACTCTCAGTTACATGTGTAGAGAGTGAATTATTGCAGTAAGTACATGTGTATTACATGAAAGTAATACTTTTTAATAACACTCAGTCTCTGATATTATGAAAATAGAGTCTCTCTGTAAGATTCATTTTTATCAGAAGTTAGAGAATCTTATATTCTTCAAGATCACTTTCACATGCCTTGTCTATGAAATTGATGAGAAGAATCATCAATTTCAGTATTCTGTTCTTAATATTATTCAAGTGATAGCAGAGTTCATTCTGATCACACTTTTTAAGTATATGTTTTTTAAATATTCACATTTATACAGATATATACTGATTATTTATTAGATAGTATTAAGATAATAACTCATTGCAGCTGTGTTATTCTTACTGTGAGAGATACACAGTTGATAATAAATATTATAAAGACTCTGAGAAGTGAGTATTTTAAAAGTACTGCAGCTCTGTGATCTTGATTTTTTTTATTTTTATTTTTTATTTTTTTTATTTTTCTTTTCTTTTCTTTTCTTTTTTTCTTTCTCTTTTTTTTTCATTCTGATTTTTGCTTATTTTTGTTTTATTTTTTATTTTTTGTTTTTTTTTTATATTTTATATTTTTTTTATCATTAAAATTATATAAATTATAATCTATATTTAGAAAAGTAATGATATTTAGTAACACTCTCTATTGAATTTTCAACAAATGAGTACTATGTTATGATATTATGTAAGTGAGAAATGATTTCATAATCTTATTTAATACCATTCTTAATAATAGAATCAAAATGAAAATATGACTAAGAATTCAAATATATTCTTTATTCAGAACTAGATTTTTATTTGAAAAGTGAATCTGAAATCTTTAATATTTGAAATAACATAATTTGAAATCAATGTGATGAATACAAATCATGATCAGAAGTAATGCTTTTAAACAATGTAATAACTGTAAAGTTTGATTCTGGTCTCAGACACGGTCACACAGTCAGTCTATGTGTAAAGATACTATTATCTGTGTGTTTTCACAATCTGAAGTCTTTTCTATTATAATAGATATCTTCTATATTACAACACAGTTTTCATGTAATAATATTTGTATAGAAATTCGAAATGTAAGTCATATTAATGAGATTAACATTGAACTGTTTTTCTGCTTTATTTATTATAATAGTTCTAACAGTTTCATATCTAAACTGACTGCTGAAATCATGAATTTCATATTTAATCTATTTAATCTAATTTTATACATTTCTTAGTGTGAATTCTGCTGAGACTATTATAAAAAAACATGTAA